CCCGCCGAGCAGGGAGCCCGATGCGGGGCTCGATCCCAGGACCCTGGGATCATGACCTGAGCCGAAGGGAGACGCTTAACGACTGAGCCACCCACGCGCCCCTATTTATTTATTTTTAAAGATTTTATTTATTTATGTTTGTCAGAGAAAGAGAGAGAGAGAACGCACAAGCAGGGGGAGCAGTGGGGGGCTTTATAAAAGATTATAAAAATCTTTTATAAGATTTTATTTGGGGCGCCTGGGGGGCTCAGTTGTTAAGCGTCTGCCTTTGGCTCAGGTCATGATCCCAGGGTTCTGGGATCGAGCCCCGCATCGGGCTCCCTGCTCTGCTGGGAGCCTGCTTCCCCCTCTCCCTCTGCCCCTGTTGGTGTTCCCTCTCTCGCTGTGTCTCTCTCTGTCAAATAAATATCTTAAAAAACAAAACAAAACAACAAAAAAAAGATTTTATTTATTTAGGAAAATTTTTAAGAGAAATAAAAATGGTATTGTACAGTATCAGAAAACAAATGATAGTTATATCCTACAGTGTCTTTACAGGATTCATGAACTGTAATAGTAACAATGGAAGAGAAAAAATAATCACTTTTAAAAGATTTCTAAAAAGCCAAAACCAGCTTTTCAATGATATAGTAAGGTTATATAAAGTAACTCAATCTATATAAATTTTTGCCCACCAGGAAGAATGTTTTCCCAAGTAGAAGGAAACCAATTCTTGGTTAGAACAGTCATCTCTTCTTTCTCCACTACCCTAATTCCTGATACCTCCCACTCCTGGCTAAAACTCTAACCACTGAAGAGGAAATTAAAGTTTGCAAATTATATACCCAAAAGAAGAGCAAAAATTGTGAATAAAAATTCAAAATAAAGAACCTAAAAAGCTGATTAAATCTAGTTATATCCAAAGCCTCTGTGAATGATTAAAGATCAGTAAATCCAAAGTTCAGCAATAACAGCAAATCATATGTGGTTTATAAAATGCTACTTAAAATCTTGAATGACTATGGACCACTTTTTCTTCCTCTTTATATAGTTTTAGCAAGTATTAGTAGTGCTATGTCTAAAGGGGCTAAGTGGGAAGCAACCAAATGATGTTCTTCTGACATACCTACTAGAGTCATACTAGAAAGGTCTTAGATTTTTCAGGATTTATTTTTTAAGCTAAGCGTGCTTTCAGGGGTTTCCCAACAAAGTTACTGTCTACTGAGCTGAGGTTCAAAATTCCATTCCAGGAATGGACATTAAAGGTTTTGGTAAATATGCATTGTTACCTAGTTGGAGCAACTCACAGACTAAATCTCATTCATAGTAAAAACGTAATTAGATAACCAATAAAGAAGCAGAAAAAGTTTCTGAGGTGGGGGGAAGTGGAAAAGAGGAATGCGTTCATAGAAAACAGGCTGTCACAAAGTGAAAAAGTATATAGAAATGTGAAGCTAAAGAGATCCATCTAACATCTGATTCTTGCTTCGTGCAGACAAACTGGGCGGAGGTATATATCAAGCATTTCATTTTTTTTAAAAGATTTTATTTATTGGGCGCCTGGGTGGCTCAGTTGGTTAAGCGACTGCCT